GATTACTATTAAACAAAATTTATTCTAATCTGATTGTTTGTTTTTTTTTTTTTTTTTGCTGCAATTACTGCTGAGTCATCCGTGCAAGTAACGACGATTTAATCGAATGAACAAGGTAGTGTTTGGTGTCTTATCGTCGTGCGTCGGAGCCGTGGAGAATAAAGCGATACTCCCGTTTTCCAGAAAACGATGAGACATTCCTCGATGGATTTTCAATCGAGTCCTTTTCTTTTCAAACGCCTCGACTCGCTCCGCTCGCGTTGAAAAAAAAAAAAATACCGGCGGTCATTATTTACCTTATCGAAGGTCAACCGAGTCCTTTCACTCGAATGGGTATACAATGTACTGTTTAATTGAAAAAAAAGGCGGACAATAACGAGCAGCGCTACGCCGTCTCGAAAGATTATTTTCCAGACTCGCGTTGGGGCTCAATTAACATATTTTTTTTTTTCCTCCAGCACTTGTACTCGCGCATCATTGATGAACCGATACCCGCAGCGTTGCAGCTGACACTTTTGTGCACACCACCTTTATTCTTCAGGAATCACGCGTTCACGCGTACAAGCACCTGTGCACCTATTCAACACCTATAACATCTAAAATTTCTCCGCTGCGCGTATGGACGAGCGACAAATGAATATTCTTTGTTATAGATAACAACGTGTAATTACTTCACACGATTCTTCGATATAATGGGCGTACAAACGATTTCCCGTCCCGTGGTAATAATGAGGTATCATCGTTTTGTTTTATGTGTGTTGCAGAGAGAGGCATTTCCTATCACTCACCTGATCGGCGGGAAAAAAAAGAAAACGCTCACAGAGCGCCGACACTAGTATATAAAGCGGCATAGACGAGTCCGGAGCGGCACAATAACCGAGGCTGAACACCCGACGCCAATCAAGTTTTGCCGCACGGACGTGTATGGTATAATTGTATACATATGTACCGCGGGTGAGGAAAAAATGCAGCAACAAGAAGACCACCAGTCGGATATTTTCAAGAACGTGGTGATAATAGGTATAGATATATATTCTGTTGGCGCGATTGTTCTCGTATATCATCTCGTCAGTTTGGCTATTGCGACGTGATGATTGTGTGTAGGTAACGGGCCGAGCGGTATCTGCCTGTCGTACCTGTTGGCGGGCAATTGGCCGCACTACACCGGCGAGGCCCACCCGGGGGACGAGATGTTGACGGCTCGACTGCGCTACAGCCTAGGCTCCAGGGGTGGTTGCTTCGTCGAGCGCTCGAGCCGCGAGGAACTCGACGTACTGTCGGCCGGTCTCGAGGGTAGACACGCGGGCAGGCCCCTGTCTCTGCTCATGGACCAACTTCAGCACCCTTGCCTCGACGCCGGTCTCGACGTGCCCTCGTTGCTCGAGTGGCCCTCGCCCGACAAACACTCGACCCACAGGCCCATCGACCACGTTGTTCTCGGCAAGGGCTCGGCCGGTGGCTGCTGGAACGTTAGTACATCTTATGATACATACTTACCTATAATATACCCACGCGTAAGTAAATAATCTCATACTTGGGGCTTTTGCGCGTCCAGACCCTGGACCCGAACGTCTTGACCATCAGTCTGGGCCGTTGGATGTCCCTGCCGGGGTACGACTTCGGCCAGTGGGAGTCGAGTCTCAGTAGCGAGGAGAGGCGCCAAAAGTTCTCGTACTTGGGCGAAAGCGCGGAAATCGGCAACGATTTTTCTTACAGCAACGCCAGCCGAGTGCCGATCGGCCTGGTGGCTGCCTATTATCGGGACTACGTGATCAAACAGTCCCTCGATAAGTACTTTCATTGGTGAGCAATCGCTGTGTATGTTTTATTCGTATGATATATATTATTGTTCAACGATCGAAGAATTGACGAAAATTTTCAGCGGCACCGTGGTGACCTCGGTAAGGCCCGTCCCCGGCACAGTGGACAGTACAACGGAGTACGGATGGCTGGTCCAGGGCTACGAGAGCGAGTCCGGCCGGTCGTTCCAGTACAGGTGCAGGAGGGTCGTCCTGGCCAGCGGAGCGACGGACTTGTCGAACCACCTGGGCGTCTCAGGCGAGGACACGTACAACTGGGTGACCCACGACCTCAAGAGCTTCGAGCGGATGCTCGACCAAACGAGTAAGCAACCGTCCCTCTCTCTCTCGATTAATCAGTTATTGTGTGCTGATGGTGCTTTTATCGCAAAGGGTCGAGCCTGGAGATAGCGGGGCTGCTGCACGAGGGTGACGAGCGCCATCAGTGCAGACGCCGCCAGAGGCCGAAGCCAAAGAGCTGCGAGTCGGTGCTGGTGGTCGGCTCGGGCTTGAGCGCGGCGGACGCGATAATGGCCGCGCGGTCCCGTGGCGTGCCGGTCCTCCACGTGTTCCGCTCGAGGCAGCAACAGAAGAGCAGGAGCCTCGACAGGCTGCAGTGGCTCCCGGCGTCGGTGTACCCCGAGTACCACGAGGTCTACGAGATGATGAACATGGGCCTTGGCTTTCCGCTCTATCGATCCCTCGCTGACCACATCGTTGTCGAGTTCAGCGCCGGGGCGGACAAGTACGCGCGCACCAAGACCCGCAAGGTCACCCTCTGCACGCCCCAGGGCAGGCTGGTCACGTACCGACTAGCCTTTGCCGCCGTTCTCATAGGTGAGCTTTTTTTTCCCCTCTCCATGTATTTAATAATAATAATTATTTTACACCGCAACTATATTCTTTGCTTTTCCTTGAAGGCTCCAAGCCGGACTTGTCGTATCTTCACAACGGTGGAGTTGGCCTGGGAAAGGTGGTGGACAAGCCCGTGGACAACCGGACGAATCAGGTGGACGTCGACGTGTTCGGCTCGTGGGTGCAGCGGGCGCCGAGGAAGGGACTTTACGCGATCGGGCCGCTGGCCGGTGACAATTTCGTGCGCTTCATCTTGGGCGGGGCCCTCGCCGTTCTCGCGGACATTGTTAACGCGCCCGAGTAGCGTGAGAAATAAATAAATAAAAACAGAGCTTCAGACGCCGGTTGTCTTATCTGGCTTATCGTGTCTTTTGCAAGTATTTTTGTATTGCGTTTTTTTTAGAAAAGATGAAAGAACCCCTTTCTCTCTCTAGGCATTTTCTCGACGAGTCACTCTGCTTTCCACAAGAGTATTTTTTTTTATTTTTTTTTTTTTTTTATCGTTACCGAAATCGCGGGTCAAGTGTGTTATTTTTGGCGAGAAGAGACTCAACGGCTCATCCATAGGATTTATTCAAGAAAAGTGCAATAATACTACCTACCAACGATAATTCATTTCACCTCTCGACCGGACACATTTCGGAGCAANTTGCATGCATGGTCACACTTCCTTTTTTTTTATCGTTACCGAAATCGCGGGTCAAGTGTGTTATTTTTGGCGAGAAGAGACTCAACGGCTCATCCATAGGATTTATTCAAGAAAAGTGCAATAATACTACCTACCAACGATAATTCATTTCACCTCTCGACCGGACACATTTCGGAGCAAAAAGTTTTCACTGTTACACTGCAATAAAACGACAATGCTGATTATAAATATATAGAGTAATGAACAATCTGTGATATGAGGTGCGTTTTCTGTGACACTTATTTATGCAACGAAGTAGGTGTGTATATTATTTTTAAAGCGAGGAAACAAAAAAAAACAATTACAAATCAAACGTAGAAAGATCTTGTTAATAAATGAGATAATTATCCAACAAGTCGCAATTTCTTTTCCCTTCACAGATCCTATTATATACCCTTCGTTTTTCTGTAAACTTTCGAAATGATGATTTTCACGTGATTTAACGTAAAGATATTTTTATTTCCACTCAACATTCTTTTTGTACACGAGTAATATTACAATTTACAATAAATTTTTGTATGCAATGTAATACATGTACCACCATAAATTCATCCCTCAAGACGTTTGCTTAAATACATCATCAATAACAAATTAACAACTAACTTTAATAAGAAGTGGGAATGAAACAATAATATATACATACATACATATATGTATTCGTAAACATCTCATCATTGTCAGTCAGTAATGTCACTTGACGTTTCCATAATTATTAAAAGCAATATTTGTATTTTGCCTGTATTATTGTAAAAATATGGCTATGTTTTTAGAGTCTTATTTACTCAATAAATTATTATCAATTTGAGATTTTTTTTTACAGTTTTACAGTACACTGACAAAATTAACGTACATGTAAAACCTAAATGATTATAAATAGGAAATTTCAACCTTTCCGAGATCGCTCATGCAGTATACGATTTTACGTGCTTTTGCGGGTGTACACAATCACGGAAAATGTATAAGTATTTTTCATTCGAGAAAGAGTTAGAATCACGAAAAAATCAGAAGCTATTGAAAATTTGTAAGTTGAAAGATGAAACATCACTTTAAATGTAAGCCTGGCCATTTAAATAGCAATTATAAGTTAACGTTTTTAAAAATAGTTGTTCTCCACGTGAATACATAAGTACAAATAATGGAAAAACAATATAAATTACAAAAAATGTACAAAAACAATATTTACAACAGGGTTGAACGACTAAGCTTGAAAGAGCGAGTATAAAAAAATAAGTAGCATAAACGAACCTACCGCTATCAAAACGCAATAGATTTTACGATTTTTTTGTTTGTATGTTTCAGCTTTTTTCAATTGTTGGCACCCTTGGTGAACTTGAACTTCCGTCTGTTCTATATTATAATCGATCCTGTCTAAGACTGTTCCCTGGTCTTGAACCATTACCGCAAGCTCCTGTAAATTGAACACAGCAGTATTAGTCTCAATAGATTTTTGTTAAAGCACATACATTCATGATAAATTCTCAGCTTACTTTAAATACATCGTGAAGCTCTGATATACTTTGAACGATATGCTCGACTTCTTGTTCCCTCTCCATCGCTATCCTCACATTTTGCTCGGTATCGTCCAGCTGAAGAAGAACAGAATCTTGGTGCTGCTGACCTTGCCACGAGTTGGAAGCAGAGTCATTGTTTGATGGCTCTGTCAACCAAAACTCTGAGGATGACTTGTTATTCATTAAATTAAACGGCTCATCGTCGAAAAAAAGTCTATTTCTCTCTTCTCTGGAATTAATTTCTAAAAGCGACAAATTTTGACATTCAAAAAAACTCGATGCACAATTAATGACACCAATTAGATAAAAATTGCTTACTTTGTAGGTAGTCTTGTTGAGCTGAACGATAACGTAACCCTAAATCTTGCAACGCAGAAGAAAGAGCTCTTACTGCACTTACAGCGAGTTGTTTATCAGCTTTTTTGGAATCATGTTGGGCAGCTGATTTAATTATTTGAACTTGCCTGAATCCGCTGGAAAACCCTTTACCTATTTCTTTTGTCAGTTGCTCTATTTGCCGCTCTTCCTACAAATAAAACATATTTAACAAATAAAGTGGATACCTTTGTAGTTTATTAATAATAAAACTAATAATAATGTGTTAATTAGACACAATATTCAATTTGTGACAAAAATGATTTACTTGAGAATTTTCATCCAAGGTAGGCCTGGAAAATTGTTTTGACTGTAAATTTATTAGGCTATCTACTTTGGTTCTCAAACGACTTAAAATATATTGAGTTTCTTCCAAGGCATCAATCCAAGGTGGAGGTGCTGTACTTCCAAAGTTCATCCCTCTCAGTTCAACACCATCAGACCCTATCGACTCAGGGCCAACTAGAGCCATCCTATCTGATACACTGTTCTGCAAAGTTTCAACGTATTAATTGTTTACAAGTTTGTAAGAGAGTTTTAGTGTGATTAGTTAATTGGTTTTTACCTGTTCTGCATAAATATTTCTTGACTGCACGGCATTATTCCTCATAATAATAAAGGCTTCCGTTAAATTTCTAGATGCCATTTTTGTAAGTAAACAATAATACTGTGAGTTTTGGTTATAAAAATAACCAAGGGTCCATCTGTCAACTTGTCAAGGTGTTAAATGACACTTTTAGGAATATACACAAACACAATTACACACATGCGCGATACCTTACCTTACGCCTTACGCCGCTTATGCGTACGACACACATATGTATACATATGTATATACGCACTTTACCGCCAGTAGTAGTATCGCCGGTCTAGTGACTTTAACTAAAAAGTTACTAGACCGACTAATCACTATCCTTATCAGTTCAAACAATTTCGTAAAATCTAATCGATACTATAGGTACTTATTACCTTAAAATGTAATAATAATGAAGGAGAGAGGAATAATTGACAAATAGAAAAGACAGATTTTTTTTACTTACAACGTAAGCTTTAATAAAATAGCAGTAACCTCATGATAAAATCGATTTATTTACAGTATCGTTAAACAAGTCCTCAAGTTCTATTTATATATATACCAGTATAAACAAATTGACAGAGCCGGTACTTCTGGTCGTTGCCTCTCATCGTTTATTTAATTCTATTACTAATTTATCAGTTTTGTATAAATTTCCGATTGTCACTTGTCTTTTTAATACTTCGAGAGATTCCAATCCTTTTTTAAAACAATCTTCGATTTTTGCTGTATCGTTCAAAGCTTTGTTATGACGAAACTCGTGTCGAATCTTTCGTAGAGCGTGTTCTCTAAAAACGGACAAATATTTTATTGTTAATCGAATCAATGATGTATTTAACCATTACTTCACAACATTTCAACATCAAAACACAGTATTAGTGTAATGACTTGTGGAGGTTAGAATTAAGAAAAATCGTTTTTAATTTGAAAATGTTTATGATACATAAAAAAATGGATTGTTATAGTAAAAGAATTTTGCTATTGTACTTACCTGAAATTGTAATTGCACCATTTTTTACTTTCCTTCAATAAATTCCGGTAGAGTTGTAAAGTCGCATTACGACTACACGCCATATTTTCCTCTGCTTTTGTTAAGTTGGTTCTCCTTCTTTGGTGTTTTTTGCCCTGCAATGGGTGCATGCGTGTGTGTGTGTGTGTATGTAAACAAAGCAGAAGTAAATCAATTTTTTTCTCACGTCAATATATATTTTAAAAAATGCACGCACGGTGGTGGGTATATTTTATTGATAAATCATTTTTAGTGTCAAACTAATGTAGCAGAATGATTTTTATTCAACAGCTTCTGCATCTCGGTAACTTTGCGAAGTTTCACAAGAACATTTTCTGGTAGAAATTTATCCACGGCTCCAGAAATAAACAAGTCACATGGAAAAATCGAACTTCTTGGACGAAAGTTCACCACGGACGATTGGACCAATGTTACTCCGAAAATTATCTCCAAGCTCGGCTGCAATCTGCATGTTACCAAAAATCACCCGTTATCCCACGTGAGACAGCAAATTGTAAATTATTTTTATAAAGCCTACCGGGGCCGTACTGGAAATCCACTATTTAGCGTTTACGACAACTTGCATCCGGTTGTAACTGTTGAGCAAAATTTTGACTCGTTACTCGTTCCTCCAGATCACCCCAGTAGAAACAAGAGTGACTGCTACTATGTCAACCAGGAAACACTACTTAGGGCTCACACTACAGCCCATCAGGCGGAATTAATATCCTCTGGCTTGAATAATTTTTTAATCGTCGGCGATGTATATCGCAGAGATGAAATCGACTCTACACATTATCCAGTGTTTCATCAAGTGGATGCAGTAAGACTATGTACTAGGGACGAAATTTTTGAAAATGTCAAGGATTCCCACAGACTTCATGTTTTTGAACAAAAGGGTATTGAAAGCCCCGAGAATCAAGCATGTCACACGTTGGAATCTGTGAAATTAATGGAGCACGATTTGAAAACAGCACTTGTTGGCCTAGCTCAAGAACTTTTTGGCAAAAAAGTAAAGTATCGCTGGGTTAATCAATATTTCCCTTTTACTCATCCGTCCTGGGAATTGGAGGTTTTTTACAATGACAAATGGTTGGAGGTACTGGGCTGTGGAATAATTAGACAAGAAATCTTGCATAAAGCTGGTGTTTTAGACAGGATTGGGTGGGCCTTTGGTCTTGGCCTTGAAAGACTAGCTATGTGTCTGTATTCTATTCCAGACATTAGATTATTTTGGAGCAAGGATAGTGGATTTTTACACCAATTTATAACTGAAGATGTTTATAAACACATCACGTACAAGGTATTTATCATTATATTAAAACGACCATGGTTACGTTTAATACATTTTTTATCCAACAATAAATACTTTTAGCCTGTTAGCGTTTATCCTCCATGTAGTAATGACATCAGTTTTTGGCTGCCACAAGAGAAAACATATTGTTCAAACGATTTTTATGATATTGTTAGAGATATCGGAGGAGACACTGTTGAGCAAATATTGCTTATAGACGAGTTTGTCCATCCAAAAACAAAGAAAACTTCCCACTGTTATAGGATTGTATATAGGCATATGGAAAGGGTGTTGACTCAAGAGGAAGTAAGTGAAATTCATAAGAATATACAAAAAGCAGTCGAAAAACATCTGGATGTTATGATTAGAATGTAAATATTGACATGATAAAGAGTAAAACAAAATGTTAACGAATATATTTTTTTTTATTTCTCCTTAAATATATCATACATTAAACAGAACATATCTATTAAGAGCTATTTCCTATCACGCTTCACCATGATTACAACATTTCCGCTACTTTTATTAAAAATGTTTTACTTAAATAAATGTTTACATCAACTACAGTGATGCAAATAATTTTTCGATTTTTTTTTTCTAATTTGAGCGATTTTATAAGTGTTGGTGCGCTGCTGGATAGTTATGTGGAAATTTTTTTTGTTAAATTGACTATGAAATCATATGTATCCAACAACGTTTTCTCCAAGTTTACCTTTAAAATCTGTGTAATTTATAATTTATTCATTGTTAATATTGCGAATAAGTATTTTGAAGAAATGTATTTATTATTTGGATGATAGAGTTTTTAAATATAAAATGTGTTTGTTAAGAAAATCGTGTTAATGTATTTTTACAGAAGCGGAACAGCAATCAGTGTTCACTTTTACGCCATCACAGTCAGTTTCTCCAAATGTTTTTTTCCAAAGTCTGTTTCGCCAAAGATGCGATAATAAAATTAAAGAGATGATGATGCACTATGATAAATGATTTGATGGTATAAAAAAAATTAACATCTAAAAAATTGATTAAATGGAAGCTGTCCAAGTAAAGAAATTCTTCAAAAAATCAATTTCGCGTTTGTAGTAATTGCACGAAATACTGAATAAGTAAGTTCCTTGATCACAAGTAAATGTGTAAGGTTAGTAAAAAATTTCATGAGCACTCTGAGCTCCCAGCAGTTGAGCTGGACAAGGTTTAATCGCATCGTTGACTCATAACCGTCAACTTTTTCTTGAAATTATTGTATTCAAGAACATCAAGATAGACACAGATAACAGAAATTTTCGTTCGTGTTGACGATATTTATGACAACTTTGTGTAACTCGGTGGGGAGAACTTTTTCCTCAAAAGTTTCAAAATGTAGAGCGGCAAACAAGATACCAGAGTTATAACTACTACTTTCCATAAGAAATCTGGCGTTTTAATGAATTCGGTATCTACAAAGACAGATAAACAAATTATAATTATTACACAGTCTTATTTAAAATTATTCATCAAGTTGACATACATACCAAAGTATTCTTTTAAAACAACCAAAGACAACATGTATAAGGCTAGAGAAAAAACTTCTGCAAGAACCATCAAATGGTGCCACGTTCTTACTGTTAGAGCAACCATAATTAGTTCGGTTAGAACCAAAGCTGAAAAGCTTATGGCAACAATGTGAATAAACTCATCTTCAAACATAATCAAAGCACCATACATAATTACACCACCTAAAGAAAAGAATGAGTTATTTACAAACGTTCGAGCAATAAATGTAAAAAAAAAATTTTTACAACAAAATATTTTTACCTTGATAAATGCTTATCAAGATCCACATGAAAAATGTTTTATATGATAAAGAACGACCTTTACTCAAGTCCTTATAAAGTTCCGGAAAAGTCAAAGCTATTTTACCCGATACATCTTTATCCAAAACAAGTGAAAAAACAGGGAACATAGTGTAAAAAGTACCGTATCTGTAATAAAATGATTTATGAATATCTGATGCATACTGTTGTAAAACGTATAAACGTATATATTTCATACACTTACCCAACCATTAAAAGCCCTTGGTACAATGGAACTGCTGAAAAGTAAAATACTGCAGAAAACACTGCTTGCATTGTTGAAATAATTAAACCACGATGAATGACAAATTGACTTAGTGCAGCGGATCGTTTGTAACTTCGTCTTCCATGGACAAGCAGCAAATTGGCCAGGTGACTGAATTGCGTAATTGAAAAATCAGCTGCTAGAGATGCTTGTCTACCTTCAAGCCCCTCAATGCCTATGCCGGCATCAGCCGATTGTATCATAGAGACATCGTTTCCTCCATCCCCGACAGCGGCGGTTCTTTTGCCCGTGTGTCTTTGTATCAAGTTAACTACTTCAGCTTTTTGTGTGGGTGAGCAGCGACAACAAACTACAGCAGGCGAACCACACGCTAGTTCCGAAAATTCATCCTCATAGTACTGTAGGCACACCTCCAAAGAGTCTCCGCTTATAACGAGGGCACAATCTTGTTTCTTTCTAAATATGTTTAACTCCAAATGGGCATCTGTCCTAGTTACTACTGGCTTGAATACATGCAGACCTTGGGTGCGGGAAACCAGCCTAGAGGATTTAGCGATGCAAGTTGCTGTCTCCAGTTTATCCCCTGTCAGCATCCAAATCTAAAAACCATTTTAGTCCAAGTAAGAAAAATGTGTTTTTGAGAAAATAGAACAAAAAATGAAGTATTTACTTTGATTCCTGCGTTTCTCAATGATTCCAGAGTCGATCTAACTTTATCTTGCAACTTATCTTCAACCCCTGTAACACAAAGCAGCTCCATTTCTCTTTCAAGACTCTCAATGACGGCTGCGACCCTCGACACGCGATCGGTCACGCACATTCTGGCTGCGTTGTATCTGGGGTAAAAACATACCTCGTTAATTTTATTTCTAATTATTACCGTAAAAATTAAGAAAAAATAATATGTACTTTGCTTCAAAATCCAAATATTGTTCCTCAGTCAAGTTCTTCTTTGCTACAACAAGAGTTCGAAAACCTTCTCTTGCCATATTACCGCATTCTTCTTCCAGCCAATCGTTGTATTGGACAATCCCAGACATTACTACGTCAGCACCTTTTAAATAGAACGTTATTTCATTTGTCGATTCTTCTTTGACAATAACACCCATTCTTTTTGTTTCCGAAGTAAAGGGAAAAGTTTGCAGAATTGTGTAGTTCAAGAAATTTCCATTTGGTGCTTTTAACTGCATAAAGTTCAGATCTCGTTTTACCAAGGTCAGCCCCACTTCTTCCGTCCATTTTACTAAAGCCACCTCGTCTGGACTAGCTGCCTGGTACGTGAGACCTTGTTCAGACGGATAGTCGCTTTGTTCACCATCTGTTTGACTTTGAACGGACGTGGTTTCCGTTCCAACGCTATCCGTGTCAAGTTTGTTGTTGACGTCTTCAGTATTGACGTCGTCATAAACGGGTGTAACGTTATGACATAAGGCTAGAGCATGAACTGCTTCGTAAACCCTTGTGTTTTCCGATCTTCTGACTTTTCCAGTATGAGTATTGGTTCCTGTCTTGATTGGAGAAGTATCCGAATCGGCATAGAAAGTTTGTAAAACAGACCTGACTAGAGTAAACGAATCTTGTCCGTACGATATAGTGCCGAGATGAAGTTTCTTAAAGACCATTTTGTTTTGCGTTAAAGTTCCAGTTTTGTCACTTAATAAGTAAGATATTCTACCAAGCTCTTCTGGGATGGTTGTAGTTCTCACAACCGTTCCAGCAATATTTTTGTCTCTTTGCATACACGAAGTATAAAAAGTTTTTCCCATATCCAAATTAACTCGAAGACTGATGGGTATAATGTAAGAAAACAGCAAAATAAAGCGGAACGTGTACCAATACCACGGACCGCTAAATCCTTTCAAACACATCATTACGAAAGCTAAGCCAATCATAGCGCAAAATAAAACCTGAGCAATAAAATTTACATTAACTTTTCAATATTTTTTTTCTTTTTAATAACAATGAATGACCTGATTTCTATACCTTTGTAAGTTGATTAATTTCCTTATCCAACAGTCCAACTTTAGATCTCAGAGCAGAGTGATTCATTAGAGATCTGGTCTCTTGGCCGGTATAAATCACAACTCCAAGTGCTGAGCCAGAGGCAATGGCTGTATTTGCCCACAATGTATTGTCAACTCCAAGACTTTCTTCACTACTGTATCCATCATACTGTTATGCCAAGAAAGAAAAAAAAAAAAAAAAAAAAAAAAAAATCGTATGAATTGATTTTGCTACAGGTAGTTTTAATGTTTTTTCAAAGCAACACTACTTACTCGAGTGAAAGTACCAATGAAGCTATGAATATCTTTTTGTGGTTTTTCTACGTAAAGGCTTGCTTTGATATCAAACAATTGGGCATCATTGTCCAATTTTTGGGTTGTTGGGACAGCCAAGCGTAATTTCCAATCGGTTTCTCCATCTAATTGGTCGGTTCTGACAAAGCAAGCTCCAGATTTTTCGGTTGTCCTTAAAAGAACAAGATCTGCAGGCACCCTCTGACCTTTTTCCACAATCACCTAAACAAAAGTGACATATATAATATGCCATTCAGGGGTTTATAACACAAATAAAACAATTTAAAAAACTAAAGCATACCATATCCCCGACTCTTAACTTGTAACTGGGCACCAATTCTGGTGTGCTGGAACCTTTTACCAATCTGTAATATTTTTGTCTATTGACTTCCTTGTCCCTTTGATACCTCCTGAAATCATCTATAGCTTCTCTGCAAATCGTTACAGCCAAAACAAAGCACAATGGTCCCCAATAAGTGTAAAGAGATCCAATTTTAATATCGTGTATGAATTGGGAGAGAGCCATGAGTAAAAAATATAGATTGAGAAAGACTTTAAATTGTTGAAACAACACCTGGAGTAAAATTAAAATCAAAATTATGTGAATTTATGAAAAAAGTATTTATGAATATGAGACACTAGTTAACAGAATTAAACAAACCATAGGCAAGAATGTGATTATACTATATTTCTGATTTCGAATGACATTTGTTGGGAATTTTTCGTACATGGGTAGGCCTATTTGAATCGTCCTTGCCCTTAACTCTTTTTCTTTGAAGCATTGTCGCCACATCCATGTGCAACATCTAAAAATAATACGATATTTAGGATTTGCAGATACCACATTAAAAGTTTGAAAGCTGTAACTGTGAAAATTTAAGTTGCATAGGTATATGGATTGTGATACATGTGTAAGTATTGAAATAAAAGTTCAGTGAGTTAAACACGTGTCTTTAGTGAGCTTCAAGTGTCATTACTAGCAATTAACACATTAACTAACGACTAGGGGATAATAACACAAAAAATGACGTATTGGTTAACCTTTCTCGTCATCAAACCATTACATTTTTGTGTGATAGTCCCTTAAGTCTTTATGAAAATAATAATAAAATTAACAAAGCCAGAAAAACATAGTGTTGAGTAATTAGTAAAAATAAGTATTTACAGTAAGGTTTTGTGTAGTTTATGATGTGCAAATTGTGCAACAACCAATCATGAATATCAAATTAATTTAATAATTTAAGAACTTTTCTATTCATTATTTGTTTGTGAATAATAAGCACGGACAAACTAAAGTTTTTGCAAGAAAGAATAAGCAGTAGCAAGCCGTTGTACAGTATAGGTGTCGTGGAAAAAAACTCATGAGAGTCATTAGTAGCGAAAGCATCAGAGTAAAAGCAGTAACGGAACAAATAAAATAAGAACAACAATAGCGGTAGAAAAGAAACAAGTATACAATATAATATTCAGCAAATGAAATTACAATGCTCGCATGGTTCGGCCGAGGGCCGATTGGAACCGTCGTAGTATCTCCATTTTTCACCAGCTAAAAAATGTTGTCTAAGCAGGTATAGGTTGTACTTGTATTCAAAGGATTTGTTTATATTTCAATTGGTTCACTCTCTGTTTGTACTAAACTATGTGCGAATTAATAATATATTCTCCCTAACGTGAAAAAAAAAAGATCGTCGCATGATTTTAAACACCTCTACACTTTTATTGCACGAAATGACGTATATGCTTCATGAAGTATATATGCAACCATGGTGGAACTTGCGTCGTGTAGTAAGATGGGCACGAGCTAGGAGACATGACGTATAAGTCATATCATTATTTATAAAGTAACGTACGAACGCGGAGACGGAAAGTACCGTAATAATTTATAGGTATAACCACACCAAAAATAAAAAGTTTGCGAGAAACTGAAGTTAGACAACTGGTCACTGTTCACACACGTATATCTTATACTTTGGTAAGTGACATTACACTGTTCAAAATCGTGAGTCAGAGAAAAGGAGTGCACTGATAAGTACGAATATACACAAGGTGACTCCGTCAGCGAGAACGCCGAGAACGCCTGCCTGTAACGTCTGCTACAGAACTGTGTGTACATATATGTACCTATATATAAGTATAGAAAGAAAACTGCCTGCATGCACGGAAAAAAAAACACAATGACCGCGGAGCGACGGAGGGATGTGGGAGAGGGGTAGAGAAAGAAAATCTATATATGCTGTATGGATGTAGGTATAGCTGGATCGATTCGGAGTTTCGGAGCACCAAGTATACTTGGTATACAAGTAAAAGTATATATTATACTTATGATGTTTGTATGTTAGTCTGTCGGGGTAAGAGTATCGATAGAGAAGTATATTATATAGTTTGTTGTTGTTGTCACTGAAATATACGAGCTGCTGTCACTCTGGAAAGTCTGGGAAATACATCACCTCGTGAACGAGCCGTTCGGCCGCGGTTTGCTCAAAAGGGGAATATCTTCCTTGGACAGTCGAATCCTGCGACCCTGATGCGGCTCCATCTCGAACATGGATACAGTGTAAGGGATACGTGGCTGGGGCGCTCCGCCCCTGCCCGTGTCTTGGCTATCCCGGGCGAGCGTCGGAGTAGGCGTACTCCGCTGCTGCCGACGCTTCACTCTGTTGTTGTTCCGAAGACGTTATATGCTGTATACTTAATGAATAACGTACCGCGGATGGGCTTATCTCCTTCAACTGCGTACTTGTATGATGTGTGCAAGGTATACTGAGTAGATGATGGATCTCCTGGTAAAAGCTAACGACGAATCGCCACGGGGCCGAGGCAAAAGGCTATCGAGGAACGCGCATTGCATTCTATTCCTCCGTATAACTACTTATACGTTAGACACTGCCAAAGACTTGGTTCTACTTTAACTCTCGGTTGCGGTGCCGTGAGTCGTGGGTGTGCGTTTGTGTGTCGGGTGAGCTTAGAGAGAGAGAGCACACCAAGTGGAGGTGGAGAGAGATATCGGATGGAATTGACGTTGATGCGCTTGCGCTACTTGAAAAAAAATATATTACTTATGCATGTTACACGCCACTGTACTAATTAAAATCAATCTCGATGGTTGGCATGGTACCATTGTAATTTTGCGTGACCCATAACGTTGTGCCGATCGATATTTTCAAATTTTTTTTTTTTCTTCCAATTTTCCACGATAAATGTTAAACTAAATAATAATAAAATTCAAGCTCGAAGCACTTAATTTTCAAAGAACCGCGTGTTATTTATACATATAACACAGAAGCGCAAAGGAGCCCATTATTTGAAAGCTCAATACAGCATGGAATTCAAGCGTTACTGCACAGCTTGTAGAAAAGTTTCTCTTGTTTCAAAACAAATTGTGACGCAATGACGCAATTTGGTCTTTAAATTCCCAGTTCATGTGTTGCTTCGGCATAAGTATATTTAATTACTGCAAAAGCAGTTACAGAGTATCAAGTAGTTTTTGTCAAAAAGGTATATTCGTTCAAAAAATTCCATGATACGTTTGAATTTCTCCGCTGCGCAAGTTTATAATAACAGTAACGATAATTAATGATAATAAAGATAACCGACGCGTTTAGCCACTATTCATCACAATCGTAAATCGTAAATTTAATTTTTCTGGTAATTTAATCGAGAAATGCGATGATAGTATTAAATTGAATCGCATAAGGGTCACAGTTTAATGTGCTATACAATTACGACCGACTGAAGTATAGTAATAGTGCGTGAGAGTAAAGTTTTAGAGTGTGGATCGCATTGAATTTTGTCCATCGTACGTATTTATTAATTAATCAACTACGCGTCGACTTTACAAAATGTCGAGTTATTTTTGCTGGAGGCTGTTCTCGGACAGTGGCCAGCGCATCAGCTGCTGGTGATGAGAAAAGCTGCACTTGCATATTCACAGCCTCTGCTCGCCGGGGATACCTACTCATCTTAATTGGAGCGAAATAATTAATCGCTATCGACCGAACAAAAGTTTGAGCCTTGCAACACCCAATGCAATTAATTCTCCCGAGCTGACCCAGCACTTGCATCGTTATTCCCCAGCAATTGATAAAATGTTCAACTCGAATACTCGATGGAATTAAAAAAATGCGCGTATTTTTGTTTACAAAACAAGAGACTCGCACATACACACAAGCATATATATATATATATATATATATATATACATTTCCGTGTGCGTCGTCTGCTGATTCAAGCATCAGCTGCAGTGTTTGACAGCGTCATCGCTGTATTAAGATGAAAAGTTGCAGAAAACATAACCTTAACACTATGTGACAGCTATAGACTGTAGTCCTTGTAGTCCTGTGTATTATTTTTAAAAAGAAGCCAAGGCGAGACAATGGAATGAATGAAAATTAATGAAAATTCCTCCACAGGCTCTAGCTGGTTGTTGGGTTTTCCTTTTATAATTTATCTGTAAACTATCAATCGAGCACTTGAGCGATTAAAAAAAAATTAGCAGATCGCATTGAATGTACTTACACTGGCGAAAAGTTAATACATAAATAAGAAAAAATAAGAATAGCGTGACAATGACAAGCAGAAAAAACATGCTCAACGTGACATTTTGCACGCATAAATAAGCTATCAGCATAGGTATAAATGGTAGATAAGGACGACACGTTCTTTTTTTTTTTTTTTTTTTTTAAGGAAAACTTAACCTAAAACCGCAGCGAAAAGCTAGACAAATTTAATACGAAAATATAGAGGTAAGCATCTAGTTTAGAGGGTGTGTGATTCAGGGGGGGAGAACAGACGAGCGCAAACAGTATCAGGGTGCAGGACGCTTGTGACATGCAACATGCAACTCACCCGCAGAGGACGTGTGTAAGCAGCCGGGAGCACTTGAAAAAGCGACGATCGCGGCTCCTCTTGTATTTAACTGTACTGTCCTCGGTCGGCTGAAGCAAATAGTCGGTTTCTTCGTCAAAGTCTCGCTCGTCGGAGCTGACGGGTATCGGCTGCAACCTCATCATCGCGGCCGCCGGGGTCCGCATTCGGATGACAATTATCTGCCGCTGCGACCTCCCTCCTCGACCTGCCGACTACTCCTCGTGCTCGCCTCATTCAACAACATCGACAACTTGATATTATACCGCTGCGGACACCGTGAAGATAAACAACAACGACAATTCCCATGCATGATCATCACCACTAGGTATCCCGCTATGCACTATGTTATCTCTCTCTTCTCTCATCTGATCGCGCCCCGCTTCGCGAACTATACTTGAATATACAATTTTTTCTTCCCTATGCTTTCGCGTCAACACCAACTTGTGTAAGTATATATCGTTTAACTGAATTTATCGAAGAAAGCAGAGATCAGGAAGACTGGGAGATATAGTGAAGACTTTGTTTACATTACCGCACAAACTACCTATATATCTTTACTTCATCCGCATATGTATACTTGTATACTCATACTCACGCACATACGCAACGCACGCCCGTATCAGCGAGATATATCGATCCGTCGCAACGGTTCGAACTAAAATTTGTTTATTTATTTATTTATTTTTTTTTTTTTTTTTTTGGAGTAAGTAAGTATAAGTATGCGGTACTTGAATCGTTACGAATCGATCCCAATAAAACATAAACATCGAGAATATAGCTGTGACGGTGATCAATTAGCTCTTATTTGCAGATAGCGATGTTGCCAATCGTGCTCGTTGCACCGTTATTGTAATGCCTATTTTTAAAGCCTCATTTTTCACGCATTCAATTTATCATCGGGCGAGTGAGTAGGTATGTGTAGTTGTTATCACTCCGTAATCGCTAAACATATATGTAAGGCTGAAAAAACGTAAACGCGAACAAAGGAAAAAAAAAAACAAAAAAACTTGATGCCTACATACATTCATTTATTCAACAAAGGCGAGAGGAGAGAGATATCGGATGGAATTGACGTTGATGCGCTTGCGCTACTTGAAAAAAANTTTTTTTTTTTTTTTTTTTTTTTTTTTTTTTTTTTTTTTTTTTTTTTTTTCGTTACTTCCACCTAAAATTGATCCTTTTTCTGCGTTATGCAGTACAACACGACGAGCCGGTTGACCCTGCTCATGTCCGGCCTGTTGTCCACGGCGTCCAACAATTTTTCAAACAGGTGTTTGACGCAGGGCCTCTCGGAAGCCGGGATCATCGCCAAACTCAGCGAGAAGCGGCCGCACTCGGCGAAAGCCTCCAAAACGCCCACCACCTCCGGCACCGTGGCACCCTTGCCGCAAACGTCGAAGCACACCTTGAGCGCGTCCCTCAGAAAGTCCGACGGCACCTCCACCTTGAAGTACTTGTCCCTCAGGGAGTCCCTAAAATGCGTTACAAATAATGACTTTGAGCTCGCGTGGACAGAGTCGACGACACGCACTTGTGACGGACGAGCAGCTCGAACTTTGCCGGGGAGTCGGCCAAGCTCTTCCACGCGGCCAGTAACTCCGAGCTGATCCCCCCACTGGAGTCGCCTTTGGACGCGACTTCCCTCGACGGAGGAGGCGCTTCGAATTTTGGGGCGCCGTCGTTGCAGGCCCGGTTCCACGAGACTTGGGCCTTTCTCTGCAACTCGGACCGATCCAGGGGCTTCAAGTGCGCGGTCAACACCTGGTCACGCGTCATTTATTCGCACAGCTCGCGACCACGAGGGACCGTACAAACTCACCATGCCGCGGAAGTGGTCGTAAGTGGGGACCCGCTGCTCCATCGCCCGGAGCTTGGCGTCGTTCTGCACCTTGTACAGTTCGTCCGTTTTCAAGGCGTCCTCCAGCTCGCTCTCCAAACTCTCGAAGTCGACCGGTTTTTTCAGGATACTCATGGTTCTGGGACTGCTTTGTGTTTGCCTTGCGGTACCCCCTTGGACGTATAATTATGTACCTACTCTTTTCTCGTGTATTCAAACAGCGCTACAATAGGCGATGGTTGTCATAGTGACTGTACCACAAGTGTACACGTATACGTATATATTTTCAGTTGTGTGTACAATACATCTCGAAATTGCGGTAAGTAGTATCAGTTCATCATGTATTTGTACGCGCAGAGGTGGACGGTACATCTTGTAAAATGCAAATTACGTACTTACGTTTTGTCCGCCTACGATGATAATTTACTTACGTACACATACATTCGGAATTTATTATTGGCGATCGCACGAAGCAATGATTCTTGTGTTTATATACTCTCGATCCGCTGATTAAGCATAAACATATCATAGCGCCTTGATCAAACAAAACCATAGGATTTTTTTTTTTTTTTTTTTTTTTTTTTTTTTTTTTCTGTTGTTTGTTTGGTCGGTAAAGTACTGAAAGCATTTAGGGATGACAAATATGATGATAGCTCTATGAAAAAAGGGGGGGGGAAAGAAGAGTTGCTTCTTTCTCGTCCGAGTCACAGTGCAAATAACCAACCGAGACGCGCTTCCTGCGAAATGTCTCGCGGAAATACACATAAAAATAAAAATGAAGACAACGACACAAAGGGGGAAAAACAATCGATCAAAATACAATGAATACGTGTTATGTATACAAATTTCACTCGACGCGGACGGACTTTCCTCTTTGCGCGTCTTTCCCCAGCCGGGCTCTTTCATCCATGAGAAGCTTCTCCTTGCGCTTCTTCACCTGTTTGTCGTGTATCCTCTTCATCTCGAGGATCTCCTTCATTTCCTCCTTGTCATCCTCCTAGAAATGAAAAAAAAAGAAAAAAAAAAATCCCCTTTATAAAAAAAAAAAGGATGAGTACTCTCACCGATTGGTGTATCCGCAGCACGAGCGCCTTGCGCCCATCGGACATCGGCTCCGAGTAGCCGTTCAGTTTCTTCAGCCTCTCGGCCGGGGCGACCCCTCTCTCGACCACTAGAACGATCCTCGCCCACTGCATCGAACAAAGACATTGTTTAACGATGTTTTTTTTTTTTTTTTTTTTTTTTTCCACTTGAGAGGTAAAAAAGAGAGTGACCTGTCTCTGCCACTCGTTGCGCGTCTCCGCGATCTTTTGATAAGTGTTGCCCATCATGGCGATCAGCATGTTGACCAGTAGAATGGCGACTATGGCCATGTACACGACGAACAGCGACTGCATGGTTCAAAGGAGAAAACCATGACTTTGTTCATTACATGTTGTACGTATTCGTTTTCAATGTGTAGGGAACAACCTTGGCTTCGAGCTCGTGCTCGGTGTTCTCGAAGGCGTCGTAGTAGTCGCCAAAGTTGGCCATGCTCATGAGAAACATCGCCATGACGCTCTCCATGGGCGAGGGCATGGGATTGGCCTTGGAGTCGTCGACCCCCTCGGGCGTTCCCGGATTGTCGAACGACAAAAATATTATGTAGTAAGCTGAAGCAAAAAACCCCCCCACATATACATAAGTAATCGCGCTTTTCGCGCCTAGTCCGTAACGATTTTCGATCTGTTTGCTTGTTTACATATTACCCACGCGTGAGTACTTGCAGCTGCGTTACATATTATACTCTTTTGAAAAAACAAGAGGCCGAGAATTGCGCTAAATGCGCTCGTACGCATAGGTATTATATGTATACAGTTTGCGCAAACACGAGAAACGTGTGTGTGTGTTGTTTTCGCGTCGTCCCCCTTTTCGCGTTATCTCGATTGGTATGAAAATTTGTACGTTTGGCGGATGAAAAGGCAAAAACACGAAAACCCTGCTCAATGATGTAATATATGTGACGATGTACGTGCACACCGAACTTTTGTGCACTGTTGATTTGTATTCCGTTACCGATTCTTTTCAAATATCGTTAAAGTCATCGGTGCGGTGTGAACGTTGCATCGCGTGAAATGCATAGCAAGATGTACAGTTTTCGTGTACCCAAAAAGTACGAAGGTGCATAATTGAGGTAAAGTAACGTGCCTTGAGAAAAACCCATGACGAAGACGAGGTAGATCGAGACGAAGCGCAACAGGTCGCCCATGATCATGCGGTAGATCATGACGACGAAGGGCCCGACGGTCTTGAAGCCCCGACAGAAGAAGAGAAAGTAGGGGGCCGTGGTCATCATGACGACAACCGCGAGCATGTCCTCGACCTCGTCGGCGCAGACGAACCGCAAAAACGGAAAGGTCAGCAGTATGCAGCACGAGAATAGGAACATGACTCGCGACGGCGCCGTCATCTACCGGACCGGCACTATGAATGATTAGCTTTTTTTTTTTTTTTTTTTTTTTTTTTTTCATGCACACTCGCGGTACTCACCAGATTCTCGACGAACATGTTCAGCCCGAGGAACCTGGCCTCGCGCAAGGCCGCTATTATGTACAGCAGGGCGCCCAACTCCATCACCACCTCCGAGGTCAGCCTCACCCGGTCCCAGTGGTCGTCGACGCGCATCAGTCGACACTCGCTCGCCAAGCCGTCCCACCTATACGATCCAAAACGACAATATACACCTACGGGCACTTGGTAATGAAACGGAAGCAGCCTGTACCAGTTGTGGCGGGGCTTGTTGGGCAGGCCCCGGATCAGCGGACTATCGGGGTGATCGTCCTCGGTCGTGGAGTTGTCGGCCGTGCCGTTGGCGTAGGCGGCCAAGACGGTCGAGTTCCAGGCGTCCCTGAGGGTCGAGCTCACGTTCGTGGCGATGTCCTCGAGCAGCGCGTCCGGGGACGTGGCGTTCTCCATCCGCAGGTTGTCGGCGATCCGCTCGGCTATGGTCTTCACCAGTAGGGCCGACAACGTGGCCTCGAGGGACTCGGACGTGGCATCCTCCGAGCCGGTGTCGTTGGTGGTGGTGGGCAGCTTGGGCTGGGGCCCCGGGCGCATCGTGAAGCTCAGCAGGGAGAAGAAAAAGTAGACCACGAACAGGTAGAACTGTCGATAAAAGCGCGACCTCACGAACGCGTCCCACTTTGAGTGCAGCAGGTCGACCAGCATGCCGTCCATCAGCTCGAGGTGCTCGTCCTTTTCCTGCGGGCGCAGGGGTATAGGTGTATGCACAGTCAGCGTGGGATATATTATTATACACGTGTATAATATATATGTAGGTACTTGCCCCGAAGACGACGAGGTTGAGGGCCGAGTTTTTGCTGATATTGCCCGTGTCGACGTCTATGGTGTCTATCTGCGAGAGGGGGTAAGCGGCGCAGGTGATGCTGCCGATCTGCCAGTAGATTTCCCGCTCGATGTTCAGTATGTGGAAGAACATGTCGACGCGCCCGAGTTTCGCCGCGAGGGTCAGCGGCGTCAGTTGCAGGTTGTTCCTGATGGACAGGGAGGAGCCCACCTCGTAGGCCATGTCGAAGGTGCTCTTTCAACACAATCGCATCAATATGCGTGACGCGTAAGCCTCGTTTTTTTTTCCTCCCCCCATCTCTCTTTCTTTCTTCCTTTCTTTCTTTTTAAGCTTGAAAAAAAAACTGAAACATTTTTTCAAACTCGTAAAACTGTTTTTTATTGCTGTAACACAAAAAAAAACAACAAAAGTTATTTTGATCAATGGACCAATTTCGGTTTTCGATAAAAATAGTACAGCCATAAAGTTCGGTACGCGACGAATCGGAGTTATATAGAGGGAAGTAAATGAATGGCCTGATGTACTCGTTAGCTTTGCGCTCGGGGCTGTCGGTGTAACGTATGTAGAGGTCTTCCTCTGCCGTGCCCCGAACTCGCCCAAATTAGACTCGACAAACTCGTGTTTTCTCTTCTTTGATCTCTGTATTATTCGTAAACAGAGAGGATCAATATTGCTTCAAAAAGCTCGTTTTTTTTTTTTTTTTTTTTTTTTTTTTTTTTTTTTTTTTTTTTTTTTTTTTTTTTTT